ACTGAAAGCCAGTCCAAACATCTTACTCCACCAGAGTATTAGAAGAACTTCATTAGCACTTTATCTTTTTGGAATATGTTTCTCTCTCCAACTTTTGTACTCCTTTCTTCTAGTTTTATCCTGTATACTTAGTTTTCTTTTTGTATGGCTTTACTCTCTCTCCCCACGAGCATCTTTGCTCTTCCTTTTTCTTTTTTTACTGTATACTGAGCACCTGAAATGTGGGATGCCATAGGTAGCTTACTCTTCATGTAAATCCTTTTTTTAAAAAAAAATACAAGTTACCATTATCAAAAAGAAAAAAGGACAAAATAGTTGTTCCTGCTAAAGAGCCATGAAAAGGTCCCCAGAATCAGAGGGCGTCAGCCAGTGAGTTTACGCCTCTATGGATGTGGGTAAAGGTCAGTGTTGGGAAGTTGCTGCAAATAAGGGTGATGATGTCAAAAATAGCCACCAATCTCCAAGGGTGCTGCACCAAATTGGTAGCCCATGAAACTACGCTTCTTGAGTTGCACTCCACTTCTACTGCTGAAAATTGGCAACGAGCTAGATGTATCTCCTTGAGGCCTTCCAATAAGGCAGTGACTTCTGCAGTATTTGAGTCTGAAGTTCCCAGTGGACTCGAAAAAGGAGGAAGATTCCACTCAAATTTGCTAGGGATCCACCGTATCCTGAAGGGACCGGGTTCTTAAAAGAGGCTATGTCCGTATTGAGTTCAATCACTTCTGAAGGAGGGGGATGCATTGACTCCTAATCCAACGGGAAGGTGAGGGCAAGGAGAGAAGGTTGTGCCAACTACCCCGAAGATGAGAGATAGGCATATGAGAGAAGGCTGGGATGCTACTAGCCCAATAGGAAACCAGAGAGATAACCGAGTCCAGAAAGGAGGGTCGGGGTTTTGCAAGACCACGAAAGGTTCTTGCGTATCTTTCAAGCCAAACCGACCACAGAATGGCCGCAATGGCCATGTTCCAAAGTTTTCTACCATTTTTGGGGAAGGGAGTGGCCAAGAAGGCCATTTCGAAATTTGGATTGCTTTATGGTTTCTTTGTTTGTGATAGTGAGAGTGCTACACAATTACGTTGTGGGGCTTTGTAATTTGTATGATATGGGATTCAATTTACTAATTTACTTGCTTAATGCCCTTCAAATTCAACGTTTAATTGTTCATTGCTTAATGAGTTAGTGCCTTAGTGGAGTGCTACATGTGATATACATTGTTATTTTGTGATTTTGGCTTCCAATGTCATTTATTCCCTATTGTGCCTAATATCTTTTTGGATATTTTGGAATTCTTTTAGATTTATCAGGTTTTTTCCATTTTTCTCTATTTTCTTAAATTTTGTAAATATTTTGAAAACTTGATCAGTCAGACAAGTGAACAAATCCAACCAAGCCTCCACCAGTTCAATGGCCGATACAGTACTAATGACATTGGTTGAAAGAGATGGACAAGACAAAAGGCTGAAGGAATCAACAGAAAAAGGAAGCTGCTTATATTTGTGACAACACTTAGGTGCTCAAGTGGATTAGGAGATATTCCTGACCAAGGACAATATACCCTAATTCGTCTTCATCGATAAGCCAATCTTAGACTCCCAGGCCATTACAAGAGCAATAAGAAGAATCATCTTACTTCTAGTTGCTCACAACAACCTACACCCATTGCACAATTACCCCAATGCATGTATATATAGGGCCATCTAGCACAGTATAGCACTCGATCTATAGACACTCACATCAATAGCACCGTTGCATGAGTATGGAAGCCAACGTGTCTGCAATTTTCTTGTTCACTATGCATAGCCAACTACTTCTGACTTTGATACACACACAATCTGGACAAGTGGCACTCAGGATGCCATGGGACTTTATTGCAAATAGCAGCTGGCCTGTCCAGGTGCCTGAATTAGTCATTTGCATCTTGTCGCTTGAATATATAAAAACATTAATACTAAACTTTCATGAGGTACACTAACTCAGGCTTAAGTTTGCAACTACATGTCCTTCCCGCACCAATACAGTACTACAGTTTTGGTCTCAGAAGGCAGGACGTATTTCATCATCCGTATTTTGCTAAATGTTCCCAAACATTCACTTATGGACAACAAAACAACCAAAAATCCAAAGAACATGAGCTATTTCTCTTCAACAGACTGAATTTGCCTCAATATGTAATGTTCATAGAAACAATCAGAGAAGAATGTCAGCACCAAGGGGGTGTGAATTAAAGGAGAAAAGAAACAAGAAGAAAGAGCTTAAAAATCTGAAAGATGCTTTTTTTTCATTAAGTTCTAAAAATGTGGTGAGCATACTGAACCAATGGTTTAAAAAACGGATCGGTGACCCGGACCGGGCTTCCAAAAAACCGATCCGGATCGGCAAATCGGCGATCCGGATCGGGAATCGGGTGAATCGGTCAGAATAAAGCTTAAAAAAAATCCGAAAAAAATATTAAAATTCATTATAAATATTGTTTTTTAGGAATTCAATAAGAAATGAGGGTACTCCATTAAGAATTTTCATGTTTTTGAATGAATATGCGAATATTGATATGTGCTTTCCCTGCATGAACCGCCATTCAGCATTTAATTTATATCACACAAAAGGATAAATATAAAATTATCATGGAATAAGTATATCAACATACATGGACTACAATAAAGCATAAAATTAGTAACATATGATCTAAAAATAAAATGATAGACGACGTTATTGTTCTTCTTGGTCACGTTGGTACCATTGATTGAATTTGTTTAACAATTCATTGATTCGATCTAAAAACGAATCATTGATATTAGCAGGCGTCTGACTATTCCCAAATCCCTGAGTGTTAGTGTTTTGTTGTGTTCCCAATCTAAAATCCCCGAAGATTATCCATCCTTCATGCTCACCTGCACTATTGCTGTTGGGACTCGATACGTGAATAATATGGCTGGGATAGGGTGGCTTCGGAATCATCATCTCTCTCATTTTCTCTTTGAATAATATGGATTAAAAAATAATAATAACAAATTTTCAAAAAAATCGATCATAAATTAAAAAAAAAAATCACAAATTTTTAAAAAATTCTATCATGGACTACAAAAAAAAATTGATCATGGATTAAAAAAAAAAATCACAAAGTTTCAAAAAATTCTATCATGGATTACAAAAAAAATTCGATCATGGATTAAAAAAATCACAAATTTTCAAAAAATTCAATCATGGATTACAAAAAATTCGATCATGAATGACATAAAATTCGATCATGGATTACATAAAATTCGATCATGGATTACAAAAAAAACAAACAAAAAAAACAAAAAATTCAATCGTGGATTACAAAAAAAGGAAAAAACAATTCGATCATGGATTACAAAAAATTCAATCATGGATTACAAAAAACTCTATCATGGGTTACAAAAAATACAAAAAACAAAAACAAAAAATTCGATCATGGATTACAAAAAGAAAACAAACATTTCGATCATGGATTACAAAAAAAAACAAACATTTCAATCATGTATTACAAAACATTCGATCATGGATTACAAAAAATTCTATCATGGGTTACAAAAAAAAAAAAAAATTACGATCATGGATTACAAGAAAAACAACAAACATTTCGATCATGGATTACAAAAAATTTGATCATGGATT